TGACGCCTGTCTTCTGTGTGGTCGTGGTATTACTGAGGGCGTGCCCTGCAGTGCTAACATGTTAAAGCGGGCACTACCACTGTTAGCTGTTCCCCTGCGACTTCATCCGCATAAAATTATGAAAATTTTATTTTATTCTTTACATGTGTCTAATAATCAATCGCAAATGTCAAAATACCAATCTATACTATGGCAATTTTGCTTTCTTGATGTTGACAGTAGCTTATGGTCTCTTTCCCACATTAGGGTTTTCATCCAAAATATTAACCCCCTATGTTAAATAGCGTGAAAATATATAGCCTAAAGCGTGACGTAAGTGTAGGACTTTTAATTAAAGAGATAATTTTTCAAAAACATGCTGTGATTGCTGACATCTTACGCCACAAAGTAGTGTGTGTCGCTTTATTATATTAGTACAGATTAACAAAAAAAATTTCACCGGTACTTTCTTTGAACGGTTCTAAGTCAGTTAGTGTCCTTAATGTAATAAAATCTTACTAATCCAACTAATATTGTAAATGCGAAAGTTTGGATGAATGGATGTTTATAATAGTTTGTAAACTGCTGGACGTATCTCGATGAAATTCGGCATAAATGTAGAGTATAGTCTGGAAAAACGACTTTATCTTTTATAATTCCAGGCGGACGGAGTCGTAGGCGAAAACCAGTATTTTATAAAATTATAATGAGCTCCATCGTTTGTTATAAACTAAACATTGTTACAAAATAAAATATAAACATTTTAATGTTATTTAACATAACTTATATTGTATGGTGAATAAAATGTTTCAAGTATAATTTATATTTCTACTAGTTATCGCACGCGACTCCGCCCGCGCCAAACAAAAACGTAAGTAGTCTGTGTGTTCTTCAAGACTGTTATTTCATCAAGATCCGTTCAGCTGTTTATGAGGTAAATTATAATTTATCATACCATCTAAACTTTCGTATTTATAATATTAGTATAATTGCCGTTGTTTAAAACTGAACATTGATTCTATGAGGTATTTAATGCAATTTTACCGGATTTATCATCAGAGTTGTGTTCGGAGTGCGAGTGCCGCTGCGCATGCGCGCGCCGCTCGCGCTCCGCAGACACCTCCGCCACCAGCTCGTCGTACTTCACCAGCTCCTCCTCCAGCGCTGATATTAATTTCTCCTGCAAACAAAAAGGCGGATTTTAAGCGTAAGGGAAAACATTCATATTATTAAAAAACCACCAACATTCACCAGCATTAAAAAAATAATTGGTTTTTAAAAAAATCCTCAAGTTATTTAAAGAAAATAAGATACTAATCTGTATTCTAATTACTTGTATCGCAGAGAACTTCTTCATAGAGAGCATCTTTGTAAATGTAACTGAATCCATTGCTGGTGTAACTCTAAAACTGTAAACCCACTTTAGAGCTTACACAAATCATTCCAGTATGACATTATTCAAGTAATAATCCAGGACTGGACCAGTAAAATGTCTCAATTAGCACTAACACTTTATAACGCTGGTTAAAAAATAGAACAAACTCATCTAAATTCTGGACGTAAGTAACAAGAGTGATTTTAAATTTTTCATATAAGCGTGTATAAGTGTACATGGTTGCAGGGCGGACAGAACCAGTCGCCCTCGGGCACCA